AATTCCAATCACTTCCAGCGATTTTTATTTTTTCATTTTTGGCCAAATTTACAAAGGCTATAGCCTTTGTGTTTTTAGCGAAAATTGATGGGTCCGGATTTCGACGGAAAAGTAGTCGATTCGACAGGGGTGACCCAGGGGACCACAAAACTACTTTTGGTTCCGTCAGAAACCACCCCTGTCCAGAGACACTTGAGTTTTAAGGGTGGTCTTTTGAATCTGGCGGGCAGCGTACAACGGGCTGCCTACCTAGCAGCCGAGCCGGTACAAGAGAAACGGGCGTAACTCGCTTAAAATGGGTCTGCGAAGTGAAATTTCGACGGAGAGTTAGTAAGAGGGCGCTGTCAAACCAATCCCAGCCATTTTCAGCGATTTTCAAATTTCTCATTTTTGGCCAAATTTACAAAGGCTATAGCCTTCCTATTTTTAGCAAAAATGGCTGGGTCCGGATTTCGACGGAAAAGTAGTCGAACCGACAGGGGTGAACCAGGGAACAACAAATCTACATTTGATTCCGCCAGAAACCACCCCTGTCCAGACACACTTGAGTTTTAAGAGGAGGTCTATTTGAATCTGGCGGGTAGCGTACGATGGGCTGCCTACCTCGCAGGCGAACCGGTCCAAGAAAAACAGGCGCAACTCACTTGAAATGGACCGGCGGCGCGAAATTTCGACATTTCCAGCGATTTTCAGTTTTTTTCATTTTTGGCAAAATTTACAAAAGGGTCCGGATTTCGATGGAGGAGTATTCGAATCGACAGGAGTGAACCAGGCACCACAAAACTACCTTTGTTTCTGTCAGAAACCACCCCTGTCCGCAGCAACTTGAGTTTTATAAGAGCTGGTCTCTCTAACTAAGGGCGGGTAGGCTACCTATGGCGCACTGGCTAAGATCTCTGCTGTAGTGAGTCGGCACCATGATATTTAGACAGAGCATGTGAAAAGGGAGTCTGCTCCACCAATCCAAACCAATTCCAGCAATTTTCCAAATTGCCAAGATTTTTAAAAGACATTTTCAGTGATAACAAATCAGCCTGTATTTTGACAGAGGATTGAAATCGACAACAAAGAACCAGGGCACCACAAAAAATATCAAATACCACCCTTTCATGCACACGAAAGGAAGCTCCTCTTAGTGGAGCCAAATTGGACCAGCGTTGGCGGTTACTGTCATGTCAACTCACCTTTTCTTTTGGGAAAAATGACTCCATAGACTTCTCTTGCTCATGTCAAGAACATTTCTGGGCCAAGTTCCTGAAATCATATTAAACGGTACTTTTAGCGCTCATCAACTTTAAATTACATATAATTAACTCATACAATACACTTTTAAATGCCTCTCCCCCATGTGTCTCTAAATGACTATGGTCTTTCAAATAACTAATTTTGGTACTGGATTAAACATTAAGTACGAAGGGGCAGCTGCAAATTATCTGCAACGCACATTGATAGATTGTTTGGGGGATTGCGCAAATAGTACCACTCGGTTTGCACCCCAATCAGAAAGTAATAAAGTTTTCTGTTCCACGAGAATAAAATA